TTCTCCCTCTGACCCTCCCCCCTCTCATGTGCTCTCTCTCTCTCATTCTCTCTGTCTCAAATAAATAAATAAAATCTTTAAAAAAAAATATTTATTCATTTGAGAGAGAGAGAGAGAATGCAAGTGGGAGGAGGGGCAGAGGGAGAGGGGAGCACACTCCATGCTGAGCAGGCAGCCTGACTCGGGGCTCAATCCCACCACTCTGAGATCATGACCCCGAGATCATGACCTGAGCCGGAGCCAAGAGTTGGATGCTTAACCGACTGCGCCACCCAGGCGCCCTGGTTATTTCATTTTGTGAGCGGCAGCTAACATACACGGAGGGCATCCTGCATGCCAGGCTTCAGGGCTGAGCGCTTCACACGTTATTAACTGAAATGCCCCAACGACCCTCTTAGGTAGGAACTTCTAATACTCCCATTTAACAGAGGAGGATCTGAGGCTCAGAGGTGCTAATAGCTTGTCCAGGGTCACATCTTGAACATGTGGAACCCAGGTCCGTGCGGGGACAAAGCCTGTATTCTTAGCCTAAAAGCAGCACTGCTCCCCCATGGATGGATGGGGCCACCGCACGAAACAATACTGTAAGGAATTCATAAACGACAGAAGCGCTTCGTCTGACATTTAAGACAGAGGGATACTGTGTACAGAATAAATTAGCATTTATTCTCCATCAAATCTTTCTCAGGTGGCTGAACAGGTAGCACAGGAAGGGGGAGGAAGCAAGGATTTGAGAAAGTGACATGTAACTTTAATGACTTTCATAGCCATGTTTTCCTTCTTGTAATCTCTTTATGAAGCCCTGATCTTTTACAGCTGGATTTTCTCTGCAAACCCAAAACAAATGGTCATGGCATCTTTCATCAGCATTTAGTCTCCCTTCAAAGAAGCTTTTGCTGCACTTAGAATACAGAGGACCTTGAGTTTTAATAGCGACCTTGATAGAAGCAGACTCCCAAGGGGGTAGGTCTAATGAAATTAAGCAGACGCTAATGGGATACAGTGGAACCAGGCCTGAAAGGAAATGGAGAGATTCACTCATGGAAACGATTCATAATGTGATTAAGTATCGACAAGAAAAAGGTAAACAAAGAAATAACAAGAACATTCAGGATTCAAAGCACAATGAGGAATACAAAGAAAGCCTTAGGGTTATCCTCTTCTTACAAAAGCAAATAGGGTAGCAGAGCTGCTTATCCAGGGAATGAAAACAATAATCTGAGAAATAAATCCAAGCTCGTGGGGGGTATATATGGCTACCATCTGTGTTAGACGACTTCCCTCAAATTGGAAGAAAAGAAATTTCCTGGCACATCACAGAAATCCTTATATTTAACACCTCCATTAAATTTTGGACCCATAAAGATGAAAATTTCAGCAGGGGACTTGGTAATCTTGGTTTGGATTTTACATTTAAAAAAAGAGAAGCAACTCAAATAGAATTTTGTTGTTGTTGTTTTTTAGACAAGCCTTACAAATAGCCATTATAAAGCATATCTTCTTGTTCCTAAAAAGAACAAACAGGTAGAATATAACTTCCTTTCGACCAAACCATTTCTCAAAATTATTTGCTCAGGACTATATTTTTGGAAACCTGTGTTAAGGTAAAGACAATAACATGGGTAGAGTTTAATTTAATTAATTAATTTATTTTAAATATTTTATTTATTTATTTGATAGAGAGAATGCACAAGTAGGCAGAGCGGCAGGCAGAGGGAAAGGGAGAAGCAGGCTCCACGCTGAGCAGGGAGCCCGATGTGGGGCTCCATCCCAGGACCCTGAGGTCATGACCTAAGCTGAAACCAAGAGTTGGATGCTTAACTGACTGAGCCACCCAGGTGCCCTGAGTTTAATTTGATTTTAATAAAATGCAGTTGGTTTAGTGGACAGAGTGCTGAATTAGCAATCACCTCTGGGTTCCAGTTCCAGATGTGCCACTAACCAGCTGTGTGATCTTGGGCAAGACACATTGTTTCTTTCGTTTCTTCATCCATAAAATGAAGAGACAAAGAGAGGAAGAGACCAGACTAAATGTCTAAAGTCTGTTGTTTTTTTTTTTAAATAAATTATTTTATTTGGTTGCACCTTTGGCAACATCTATAGACTTTGTTTCCTTTTTAGCACGTTCACAGGGATATCCTAAATATAGTAACTGTTGTTTACTAAGTTACTATTATGTGCCAGACACTGACCTAAGCACTTAGCATGGGCCTTCATAATTTCCACAATCCCTTCCTGGAGTTATGATCATTATTCCCAGTTTGTTTATTTTGTCTGTTTCCATTATTGTAAACTAGTTTTCAGCCGCTTAAAAATATCCCCCCCGCTTCAGAGAAACCTGAAGCTCATAGAGGTTCAGTTTTCTTCACGATCGCAAAGATGCTCTGTTTTATAATTTCTAAAGTTAAATATTTAATTTAAATTCTCAGTTCATAAATTTTAGATTATCTGTCTTTTAGTAAATATATACATACATACATACATATATACATATATATACATATGACAGATGAAGTAACAGATGGAGTCAGAAATAAGTCCATTATAAAGCCTGGTCTGCCTTTCTTGTTTTCCCACACAAGGCACCTACTTCCACTTCCCAAGGGCCTGGCGCATAGCAGGCACTTAGGAAACCACACTGACAGGGTCAGAGGAGGGAGTGAAGGTCGTGGCCAAGGATGGGAAGATGTCGCCGTTTTAGGCCATTATGTCACTCTCAGTGGTGGAGTTTAGGAATCCCATAAAACATCAGTATGGTAACGGAGACTGGGCAGCCTGCTTCTGTGCTGTGGAGAATGTGCCCTTGGAAGACACTGTCTCTATGCCTACAGCTCCCCCAGAAGCCCCAGGAGATGACTTGCTACCAGTGTTTAGCCCCTTTAACATTCATCGGGAGTCTGGAAAAATCCAAAGGGGCCTCCTGTTGGAAGGGACCACACAGTCCTCGAGTCTAAATGAAATCCCCATCTGAAGTTGAACTTTCTCTATAGCATCCTTGCCAAGGGCATGTCCCACTGCTGGCTGATCTATGGTGACAGGGAACTGACCACCTCCCCAGGCACACTGATCGACCTGATTGTCAAAAAGTTTGATTTTATATTAAGTTGAAATCTGTCTTCCCGTCAAATCTTTCTATTTCTGTATGCAACAAAACTGGGTTATCTAAGATTCTTATTATTTGTTTTGGACACCAAAATACTTTTTGAATCAGAAACCCTAAAAAAAGAGAAAGAGAGGGCATGTCTCTGAGATAGGAGCTGTTGATTTAAGGTAAAATGTTAAAATCATGATAAGTATTGGCCAAAAAGGAGATCTTTTTGCAGGTCATTGATGCTCACAGACTAATCAGATTTGGGGAAGGCATGAACCTGTCATGCATGACTCACCCTCTGGCTTGCTCGTTCAGAACATATTCCCTCTGCTTGTCCTGAAAAGAAGGGGTTAATTTTGTAAGGAGAGGAAACTTTGCTAACCTCACTGCTGATGACACATTTATCTACGGGGAGTTGACTGGCTGTCACGCATCTTAGAAGTCCTACAAGTTACACAAACAAAGACATTTGAACGAGCAGCTACTCACTAACCATCCACTAGCAAGACGCCAGCATCAGTGGAAACCAGCAGGGCCTGGCCCCAGGGATCCGCGCACACAGCTTCGTGAGGGAAATCACTGCAGAAACACTGCGGCTCCCAAGGCTGCAAGGCATCAAAAGCGGTGGGAAGTAAGCTCCAGAAGGACTATCCCGCGGCCCCTCGGATGGAAACGTACAGTACGCCACCCGAGACCAAGCCCAGATACCCGCTCAACTTGGGGAGCTAAAGGGGCCCTGCACTCAGCTACCTTTCTTTGTTTTTTTTTTTCCTTATGTTTTCAAAAAATATTTTAAAGTAATCTCTACACCCAACATGGGGCTTGAACTCATGACCCCGAAGAGTCGCATGCTCCACCGACTGAGCCAGCCAGGTGCCCTTCAGTTACCTTTCTTAAGAAGAAAAGTCTCTTTTCAAATACATATGCAGTAGGAAAAGAGGGAAGTCACATGTTTCTGGCACCATGACCTGTCTCCGTATGTAATAATCTTCCTTGGGAGCAACCAAATGGTAACGTCTTCTAAGCAAACATTTTACCTTAATACCTGAAGTTGGACCAACCAATTGTTGCCTATTTTTTGAAAAATTTACACGAGCTCATCACCAAAGGAAGACCCACATAACTCTACAAAAATGTCAGATTTGTGTTGCCGATTCAGTAAAATTATCAAGTCATACACAATGCAAGAAGTTGACATTGCCTTAACATGGAAATGCTTATTGACCCACTTAAGTCTACAAAATCTTAAAAAAATAACATGTCTGTGAGAATATGAAAGGTGCTGCCTGAAACCTACTCATGCTCCCTGCATGATGTAGTCATACCACATGAACTCTTCCCCTTCATCATCTCATGCTTGGTTCTGGCATCAGAGTTAGCCCTCCCTACGGCTGCCCCAGAGCTGTGCGGGGATGCCTAGAGCCAGGAGGCTTGGCCTCAAAGGACAAAGACGTTTTTGGAGCTTCTCAGGGACAAGTCAAAGTTTCACATTTGCACTTTCACTCTCCATCAGATGTGCTCCCTGGGGATGGTACGAGACCCCACGTATGCACGTGGGTGTCCACGTGCACACTGCGTGAGTTCATGTCCGAGTACTGAAAGTAGAAGTGGTGGCAGTGCGGTTGGCTTCTAGGGTGTCATTTGGGGTGAGGGTAAATACTGTGTGTATTACTGCTCTCTTAGAAAAGTATGTTGTCCCTTCAAGAAACTCACAAGCCTCAGAAGAAATCTACTTGCTAAGATGAGGTTCAAGCCCGTTCTGGAAAGATCACACAAAGAATGTGAAGACGTTTTACAACCTAGAAAGGGCTACACAAGTGCAGAGGCCATTAACTGGAATGGCATTTCTCTAAGAAGATGTCTGGGAATTCTGACTCCGTGACCTACAGCAGGAAGACATGAAGAAGCAAAGCCACTATGAACGTCAGCTGGGAGACAGACACAGACATGTGAGCATTAGGTAACACCAAGACATAAAAACCAACTCTTAATAACAAAAACGTTCTCTGAGCAGAGAACACAAATTTAGACCACTTAGGCAGAACAGGGGTTCTTAACCCAGAAGATCTAAGGGTCCTAGAGGATCCATAGGAGCTTGAGGAGGCGTGTGAAGCCCTGAAATTGTATTCAAAATGTTGTATACATGTGCCATCCTTACATTTTAATGGGCTAGTGTGTGCATGTGTGTGTGTGTGTGGGGGGGTGTCCACTGCTTTCATGTGTTCTCAAAGGGGCCGGGGACTCCAGGTTGCCTGAGGACATCATGTAGGAAGTGTCAGTGATGGGAACTCACACCTGGTCCCACAGAGGCTCCACTCTGAGGACTGATGGCATTTGCCACTGCACTGGATTCCCTTCTGCCAAGTGAGGGGCTTGGTGGAGACTCTGCAGGGCAAGGATGTGGCCTACGTGCAGGACTCCGTCCTTGCTGGACCCTCTAAGAACATTAACACAGCACATGAACTGATGGATGCCTAGGAGGTTGACAAAGCCTCTTCTTTGGAAATAAAACACTCTTGGGAGCAGCATGCGGGACTCTGGCCTCTGCGGAACCAGTTGCACAGAAGTCCGTGAGGGCCTCTAGGCCAGTGTTTCTCCAAGGCAGGCCTGTGGCTCACTGGTAGGTTCTGAACGGATAGAAAAAATGGAAGTTCTTTCTTTGCTCTTCACCAGTGAACAAGTTACATTTCCACAGACTTTCATTTTTATGTATGCCTAAGAACTTCCTATCAAGAAGGTTACTAAATCCTGCTGGAATTTGGTATTTATGGAGCTCTTGGGAACACTGCAAATTCTACCATTCACACCAATGAGCCGATAGTGGGAATTTATGCACCCTTTGGAAAAGATGCTTTGCCATCAGTCTGGTCTGAAATTGGTTGTGGTTTTCTAACATCAGTTGTATTTTGACCTCATCATTTCCCTGAAACCAGACTTTAAAGTGTGTAGGTTCTGAAAGTCAGATACAAAGCATTTATACCTTTATCACTAAAGTAAATGCATTTGTAATTCTTTTGCTTTTATAATGGACATTTCTCTAGTGATGCACTGTCTGTGGATTTGTTCCATTTAACTAACTTTTACATGTTTGGAACACAGACATAACTAGGGACATGGAGTTTTGCTTTACAAAATCATGCAAACAGTAAGTTCCTATGCAACAAGTTTATTGTTTGCTCTTCTCTTCCTGATTACCAGCTAGTTTTTTTCCCCAAGGAAAGTGGAAATGAGAAGTAGATACACAGGCCACAAAATTTCTGGGTGACTGAATGAACTATAGATTAAGCAGTGGTTTCTCAACTGTGGTCCTCTGACCAACAGCATCAGCATCACCTGGGAACTCATTAGAGATGCAGATTCTCAGGGCTCATCCCAGACCTACTGAATCAGAAATTCAAAAGGGGGTGATTGCAGTACACACCGAAGCTTGAGAAACACAGCCCTAGAGCTTTGTGGAGCGTGTCCAGGCACCCCATGAGAGCTTGTTAGAAATGCACAGTCTTCACTCCTCCCCAGAGCTGTAGAATCAGAACACGCATTTCGCCAAGACGTACAGGCAGTCGGTATGCACACGAGGCTCGAGGAGCAGCGCTCAGCCCCGTCTCCCTGACCAGGCCTGCTCCAGCAGCTCTGCTCCCCTTAAGCATGCAAAGGCACACACACGTTATGGAAATTGGGGGCTCTCCCTAAATGCTACTCAACTTTATCTGGGGCTTTCCCTGGGGACTCTGCAACAGACAAGCTCATCTCCCTCCTGTCCCACAAATCTCTGTCAAAGAATTGCAGTAACTTCACGGACAACAAAGGACATTCACAGGTGAACTTGAGAGCATCATGGACTCACCTCTTTTTTACAGATCCCCGAAGCCACCAAGCTTGACGGAGCATCCCCTCTCACAATGGATTTCAGTTTTAGTGCCTTACAGAACAGAGATCTCTTTTACAGTTGGTTATCAGGCAGTAAAAGAAGAGCAGGCTCAACAGTTGCGATTTGGCAAGAATTTCTTAACAGGAGTAATTTTACACTAAAGTTTCAGGTTCCCACACTGCCCTCTCACTGAGCCAAGGAATGCAGCCTACTGACAATGTTCCAGCCCAAATGACCCCATCCCGTCATTTCAGTCATCGGCATCTCAGCGCAGAGACTCCGAAACGGCGAGACCAAAGACATTTCCAGGTCCCCCCTCAAACTCGGTGAGTCAGGATCTCGGGAAGCACAGGCAGGGTGCCTCTGAACAAGGACCCACGTCGGAGAGCCCCTGTCATGGTGCACCTGTCTGGGGCTAAGTCACTTGTGCCCCTAAGCTTTCCTGGGTCACCCTGCTCGGTTCTCTCCTTTGGGCCGGAAACTTGGCTGCCAGTAGCAGCCCTCCTCCTCCTCCGTGTTGTGACAAGGGATCAAGACAGAAAGCTGTGTCACCTCCCAGAACTGAGACATATGAACGTCACATGGGAGTGAGGCAAAGCGGCAGTGATTTCCTCCAAAATCGGGAATAAGATGCTAAGTGGGAGCCGCCTAACGCTGAGGATGGCTTCCAAGCAGCAGAGTGGGAACTCAGGGCCCTGAGGACGCCACCCCTCTGTGCTGACTCCTGCCACGGGAGTTCACGGTGCTTTTCCTACGTGGGCTCCTCGCTCTTCAGAAAATCCCCAGGAGGGAGGCAAATGGTACGTGCTCCCTCGACAAGAGGGAAACCCGCCTGGGCCTTGCGGCCTCCTGCTTCGAGGCAGTGGTGCTCCCTCCGGCAGAAGGCTTTGCTCCCACCCCCGCCCGCAGAGAACCCTGCCTACGTGGTTATCAAAACTCTCACTTGTGGTTTCCACAGTAATCCTACGAGAAATTACAGAGCTCCCACAGGAGTACGCAGACAGGAAATTCTTTGCAGGCAGGCCATCTGGTGTGGATGGGGCTCACAACCGCACATCTTGCCAAAGAGGTTTCAGAATAAAACCCACCTGCCCTATTCTAACAAACTCTGCCTGGCGGGCCTCCTCTTTCTTCCGTGCAGACTTGGGTGACTCTGGTAAGACGTCACTAAAAGATCGTCTATTGAGCATGTTCTAGAAAAGAAAAACAAGTTACAAATTCCAAATATTGTTGTTAAGTCTCATCCCCTAGCTTCTCCTAACGCACAGACCTATCTGTCCAAATGCTATTTCAACTTTCTGTACCCATTCGCTCCATAAGCATTCGTGGAGTGTCGCTCACGGGCCAGTGTCTGCGCTAGATGCTGGGGGTAGAAGGCTGACAGGCGGAGAGCCAGCGCTGCGTCTTGACCGAGAGCACAGGCTTTGAAATCAAGCACACCAGCAGCTCTGGGACTTACTAGCTTCCAACAGCTGATGGGGCCACCACCTTGCACAGCTCCGGGGATGCTGTTTGCATGGAGCATCCCCCCTGCCTGCCCACTGGAACAAGGCGTGCGGCATTCTATGGGAACGGTACCCCTGGAGCTGGGCAACTCCGTGGCCCCCGTGGTAACGTTGGGCAAGTGAGCTAATCTCAGAGTCGAAGCATCTTTGCATGGCTAATACTTGTCTCCTAGGCGTGTGATGAAGACTACATGAGGAGGTGCTTGCAAGGGGCTGGGCACAGTGCTTGGGCACACACTCAGTAAATGACAGCTCTCTTCTAGGGTGTAGTCAGAGAATGGGCACACTCCTTCAGTCAGCAGGTACTGAGTGTGCACCTGCTACTCTGGCAGGTGGGGGGCGTGATACACAGTCCCTGTCCTTGTGGAGCCCAGTGTAATGGCGGAGTCAGACCGAGGCATTGATTACATGATTGGCACGTGGGAGAACGTCTATGAAGGGGATGTACATACGGTATCTGAGAGCATCTAACAGGGGAACTTGGCTTCAATGGGGGGCTGGGGAAGGCCTGCCTCAGACATCCATGCTTCAGCTAGGACCTGAGGGGCACTGTGTCCTCATCTCGGCACCCTCTCTGCACCCCTCCCTGACTTTAGGGGAAAAAAAGGAATGGACAGATTAGCGATTATGGCTTGCTCTTTAGAGCCCTGGGGTTAGTCTGGCCTAATCCCTGGGAGCAGTTAGGGTGTACTGGTCAGCTGGAAGTCAAGGGGTACCCTATAAAATGGTGGTGGTCACTGTGCCCAAGGAAAAGGACCATATGAGCACCAGCTCATTATGATAGTTTTCATCTCCGCACGTAAGCACCTGAAACCCAACACCCCATTTATTTACAAGCATCACTGGCAGGGCCTTTTGCAGGAGTTTACGAATGCAAGGAGTCAAGGGGAGTCTCCCTACTTGTTCTGTGCTTCCCTGTGAAAGGCAGGAAATGCTTCTGAACAGCAGTGCTTTCACTCTGCATTAATGAGCCCATGGCATCTGGTGATCTCACACTGAGTCTGGAGGCCTCCAAGGAGCCTGGGTGCCCTTCCAGGCACTGAGGTGCCGCTGGGTCTCATCAGTGTGGAGATACCTTCAGCCTAGGAAGTGTCTGGCACAAAGCAAATCTGCAGTAAGTGGAAATACTTGTTTCAGGTGCCTGAAAATGGGGCTAGCCAGTAAATCTCCAGAAATCCTTAAAAAGCTCCCAGGCTCTCTCCAAAATCCCCACTCTTGCCTGTCCATCCGCTCCGTGGCACTGGTAATGCTGAATAGTATACCGCCAAGGACAGCCACCCCAAAAAGCACTCTCCAATGCTCCCGGGATTGGTGACTGACACTCATGCCCCCCAGCCTGCCCCTCCATTTCCACGGGCCTGTGATTTCTGAAAATCACTTTCCTGCACATGGATATTCAACACTCTCTCATGGCAACAATGAAAGAATGAATGTCAGCCCTGTGGCCACAGCCTGGTATTAACAGCAGAGATCGAGGCGACTCCTATGCTCTTCTTTTTTTTTTTTAATATATATATTTTTAAAGATTTTATTTATTTATTTGACAGAGAGAGACAGCGAGAGAGGAACACAAGCAGGGGGAGTGGGAGAGGGAGAAGCAGGCCTCCCGCCGAGCAGGGAGCCCGATGTGGGGCTCGATTCCAGGACCCTGGGACCATGACCTGAGCTGAAGGCAGACGCTTAATGACTGAGCCACCCAGGCGCTCTGATTCCTATGCTCTTCTAACCAGGACTCATCGCTAGGACTCAAACCCATGAGAAGGAAAGAAGACCACAGACCCGGACTTACCTTATGCAAATCTGGCATCAAATCCTGGTATAAAGATCGAATCAACATATCCAGAGTACGTCGACGTTTCTGGGCAAATGTTGGGGTTTCCAAAGTGGCTTTTTCACCATTAATTACTAAAATAAATCAAGTTATAAAGGGGGTTACAAAAATTAACATGCTATTGGAGAATGTCCTTCTCTCAAGGAAACTCCTCACAGTGACCACCACCCACTTCCCTAATACTGGTATTACCACTGGCACGACCCTTCCTTCATGGAAGAATGCTTAAAAACTCTAAATGTCTCCATACAAACCCACAGTCCATAGGTATGTCTGTCTTACCTTTCCTGTTGGACTGTAAACTTCCTGAGCAGAGGGTATATCTAATTACTTGAAGACCCAGTACACACTGAATCTGCCCCCATCCACCATTCCCTCCTCCCATCCATCCATCCATCCACCCACCCACCCGCCCACCTACCCAACCCTCTAAACACATCCCTCCAACACATGGGCCAAACCACGAGGATGCCATTCAACAGGATTAAATATATATTTGCTACATTTTGTTAAGAAAAATAACAATTGCCTAACAGAGTGCTAGGATTCTTACCCTAATAGAAGTTCCTCCTGGGAAAAAAAAGCTGGTGGCTAGTGGACTACAGACACGAAGAGTCAGTAAAGTGGAATGTCCAGTTCCACATTAGAGCACAGAACAGAAACTGTGCAATAGGGGGTGTGGAGCTTGAAGTCAAGGCAGTTATGGGTTTGAATCCTGTCTGTGCTGCCACATTCTTAAGTAAATTATTTAGCTTCTTGGGGCCTCATTTTTCACCCTGTAAAACGGCTATAACCATATTTCCTTAGAGGGTCATTGTAAGAATTTAAATGATATAGTACATATAAAGAGTTGGCACCATACTGGGCATATCAAACTGAATAAATATGAACTGTTATTTTTCTCATAGGAAGGGCCAAAGGAAGGACAGTGTTCACAGACTGAAAAATGAACTTCTTGGGCTCAGGCATTTCCTAGATAGGATCTGAGTGCTGGGGGCAAGCTGGGCTTGTTTGTGGCAAGACATCTCTTAAGGAATTTAAACTGCATGCAGTTAAGGCATGCCTACTATTTTCTCTAATTCTGTCTTTGGGAATTTTTTGTTTGAGGATATCTTCTCCTTAGTATCCCAGAAAAAACAAAACAAAACAAAACATTTAAAATGACCTGTTTCAGCCAAATAAGGGGAAAAGTCAAAACTTTTGTTGAAATGCCATTTCCTGTTATCTTGGAGTTTCCTGCCTGGCCTTCTTCCTCCCTCCTGCTGCATCCACTTTGAATTCAAAGAGACTTCGGATCCCTTGGCTTCTACCTTTTCTCTCAGTCCATCAACCCCTCATGATCCATCCTGGCTCCAGGCTTCATCTCTTCAACACCCCTCTTCACAGCCCAGAGCCTTGGTTCTTCCACTGTATTGACCGTGCAAGGTTTTCAACTGTAGATCAAGCCTTCGCTTCATTCCACCCAAGCATCCAAGGGGGCTGCTCAAAGTCACTCTGTTGATTGGCTCCATTTAAATCAGCAGATACACTCATAAGCTGGGTTCTTAGGTTGCCGAATCATCTTTAATCGTGATTCAAGGGCTCCATGCCTGCAGCGGCCCCTTCCCTGCTATAGGCACTATGGCAAAGACTGCTTACTTCCTGACCCCTGCTTCCAAGACCCTCCCCATTTCTAGCTGCTAAACCCACTCTCTGTTTCTGACTGTTTCGGGTCTGTTTCTTGCTCTCCACCTGATCCTCTGGACTTGAAACACATGGACCCCCATTTTAAGATGCAGGCAATTTCAGATACAATTTCGGATCTCTGTCTTGTTTGGAAAACCTGGACTATCTGGCAGCCCTGGGCGCATGCTCCTGAATGGGGCTTGCAAACTGTACTTGTAGCTATAATAACCAAGGACTACTCTGGGGAGGGATGTAGCCGAGCTCTTGTGGTTCAGAAGATGGGGGCACAGGGTCAGGTATCTGGGTATTATCGGTGGAGCTAAAATGTATACTCACCAGCTAGCGAAGCCTGGATGGTCAGGTTCTGCACTATCATATCCATATTCTCTCTGTTGGTCTGTCTTCTCCGCCCCCCCCCCCTCGCCCAGCCGCTAACAACTCCCCTTTCCCTAGGTACATACGCATATAACCACCCTTTGTCTCACCTGCTTCCCACTCTCTGACAAAGACACAGATACACATGTAGCCAGAGATTCAGAAATGGCTATAGCAGAACCCTGGGCAGCAAGGCAAATTTGAGGCCCCCTGTATCAAAAGCAGGTGAGTGTAGATAAACTTCAAAGCAGGTGGGCAGCATGGTCGATATAGATTGGGACACAGGAGAAGATCTGCATAACACTACCAGAAAACTAAATGCTTCACATGAAGAATTAACAGAACATGGAATGGGATCAACGCTTAAACAATGAGATTTTTCTTATACAGCATCCTCGAAGAATCTGAAAAAATGCATTCTGATATAGAACAATTTGCAAAAAATTTCAAAATAGAAACTTACATTTCACTAGCAAAAAGTCCCTGAATTCCTGGTGGTCTGTAAACACCGGTGGGGATGGCAAGGGGGGGCCAAAGAGTGGTACGCTTTCTTCTGAAAAAATTTTCAGCCTATGTAGAGAACATTTCAGAATTATTTGGTTTTTCTTTAAAGATCAGCAATATTCAGACCTTATATTTGTTCAGTTGCCTATGTGATATGTCAAGAATATTCAGTCCGGGGCGCCTGGGTGGCTCAGTTGGTTAAGCAACTGCCTTCGGCTCAGGTCATGATCCTGGAGTCCCGGGATCGAGTCCCTCATCGGGCTCCCTGCTTGGCGAGGAGCCTGCTTCTCCCTCTAACCCTCCTCCCTCTCGGGCTCTCTGTCTCTCATTCTCTCTCTCTCAAATAAATAAATAAAATCTTTAAAAAAAAAAAGAATATTCAGTCCATAGGAGGAGTGGTGTCTCTGGGCTGCCAGAGGCCCAGCCACTGTACAGCTCTCCCATGAGCTTTAGGATAGAGGCCAGGTCTTCCTGCGTTCTTCATGGTCCAACCTACCAACTTGTGGGCAAGGTCAGGAACACCAGGAATAATAGCAAAGGCCACCATTGAGCACCCTGTGCATACCAGGCAGCAAACTTGGTATTTTAAGATATAGCATCAACCGATTCTCATCAACCTGCCAAGGTAGTAGCATTACCTTTATTCTGTCCTACGGATGAGGCCTGCGACTGAGAAGATAAACACTTGATCTTTCAAAAGCACGAAGTTAATAAGCGACAGACCTGGGATTCCAACCTAAATCTATTTGGCTCAAAGTTCATGCTCTTTTCACAACATCACGATACCCTTTTAATTTTTGAGAACACAGGGATACATGGGCCAGGACGTAGCCTAGGAAACGGGGTCTGGTCAAGATCAAATATAGTAAATTTGTGCCCATTTTAGAGTAGAATAAAATTCCAAACTGACCCTGACCCTTGGGTCTACTGCACAGGGAGGGCAACACTATATGGAACAAGCTTTTCCCAAAGAGATGATGGCCTTGAAGAAGTTCTATTGGTGAGGACACTCACATCAAATCAATCAACAAATACTTGTATTGGGAGCCATCAAATGAATGCCAAATTAATAAGTAAACATGAGGATTAGAACAAGCAAACCGAGGGCGCCTGGGTGGCTCAGTCGTTAAGCGT